GCTTTCACTGCAATTGGATTTTGAACACATTATTTATACAGTTTTTCCAGATTAATGTTAAACTAATGAGAGATAACATTGGAGCAGCTGGATTAATCTGTACACTGAACCTTTGTGATTAATATGGAACATGTTGATCACCCATGAGGTTGATGTGCAGTGATTTGAGAAAAGCATTTCCTCAATAAAGGCCCCACTGAACCGTTAAGGTTGCAGTTTCCATCATATTCAGCATTGTTGTTGGGTTTTTTTTGCCAGGTTGCCAGGACCTATGTAAATGTCATACGGGAAGTTTAAAAAACTGCTTCCTATTAAAAATGACAGAATATAGATAATTTAATCAATACATTATTGCTTGAAACCAATGTTTGTTTAAGCATCTCAGAATTTGTTTTATAAAATGTCATGACAGCTTTCTATGACTGATTTGTTCTATTATAAATTGACAACCTCCCAATGCAGTTTTCCCATTATTTATCTTCCTTTACTATTACTATGCATTAATATATTATGGGATTTTATATAACCTACATCAGCCATAAAAGGCAGGAACAAAACACTATTGAAAAGAGTGGTCTATTTTTATCCTGCATCAATATTCAAATGGGACTCTTAGAAGACTCATATAAACCAACCACAATGCTAAAGATGTCTATTTATTCAGCATTATGTGGTTGGCTTCTACCATATAAGGCTTTAGTTGTAAAGATTTTCAACAGCTATGAAATAATCTTCCAACTTCAGGTTTTATATATGCACAGTAGTAAGTCAATGACAGGAAGTCTGAGGCAGTTGCTTGGCCATTCACATTTATTATATATTAAGGAAGAATAAGGGTTTTATAAAACTGCCTAAAAATATATATGATAAAATTCTTGGAGACACGTTTGTGTGAAAGTGAGCATAGTAGCTAAAATGTTTATTTTTAAGTAGAGGAAAATCAAAGTGATTCAACCAGTGAGTCTGTCTTCATATATCTTGTAAGCCCAAGCTACAGTATCTCTGAGTATAAAAACATAGTTGTTGAGCCTTTAACACTACTGTATGTTTAACCCTCCACCAGCCAAATAGTTCTGTGCTTCATCCAGGAGAGGAAGAGGATAACATCCTTGACAGTTCCTTCATTAAGCTTTAGTGAATATAATATCTGATACTATCCGAGGGCTGCTGCTTAGATGAATAATGGCCAGGTGTAACGTTCTTAATTTAAGTGATTTTTGCCATAAATTGTGTTTATTTTCACCTGTGGATCTGTACTTGAGGGACTACTGTCAACAGAAATAACATGATAGTAGAGCAACCTGACCAAAGGCTCTGTTGTTGCAGGATCAGTTGCACAAACGGGAACATTGCGTATGGTAGCTCCATTGATCTATTTTTGATACATGTGGGTATATCATTCTCTTTATTCTAATCCACCTCTGAAGATATGAAGTGGACAACAGCCAGAAAACTAAAACTGCTATGATAGTTCTGCATTCGTGTGTGTATATAGGTATTCATATGGAATAGGTTCTTACTGTACATTGTCCATTGGAATTGAGCACCCTTAGGTAATAAATCAACATTTTAAAAATATTTAACTAAACTCCATGTAATAGAAGAAAATCAGCTTCAAGAATGATTAATGAAAGTTGTCTTACTCTGTGATGACATTTTCTGACCATTCGGGGTGGCATTTATATCACACTTATCCAAAGGCATGCTTTTTTGAAGATGTCATATCACTTGGAAAACTTCAGAAAGATAAGGTTATACTCTTTTTATGCCCATTTACATAGTAGACAGCTTAAGCAATTTGCTAAGGTCTTAGAGATGGTCATTTGCAGAGCTGGGAATAGAACACTGGATTCCCGATTCTAACACCCCTAAAGCATTCAATAAGATAAATCAAAATGAAGTACCATAATGAGGGAGGAACAACATAAGGAGTATAGGGGAAAGCTGAAGTGATGGAAGTGGCACTGATTTTCTAGACTGTTTTCTTTTGATTTGAGAATATTGAAAGTTGTAAGCTTACATAAATATGGCTTTTGTGATAAAGTTCCTTCTCTACCTTGGTGGGTCCTGCGCTTATTGGCGGATTTTGCTTGCCTCAGAGATTCACAGTAGCCCTCAGTTTGGCCACTTTCGTGGCTCAAATCTGCCGTTCACTCAGATAACCTCATCAGTGGCCAGCATGGGGGAAAAAAAGAGTAAGAACAATCCCCACAGTTTCTGCTGATCCACCATGTGGGTTGGGGAACAGCCTAGAGACCTTCCCCTCTGGTGGAACCTCCTGTGTTGGATCAGGAGTTGGGAGGTTTGGGGGGAACCCGGGCCTGCTCTCTACCCTGGGTTCCAGCCCATGGCCCTATGGGCTGCAGCTGTGTAGAGGGCCTCCAGAAACAGCTGTGCAACAGCTACAATTCCCTGGGCTACTTCTCCATGGCCTCCCCCCAACACCTTCTTTTTCTTCACCATAGGACGTTTCTCCTGATGTCCGTTAACACTTGTACTCCTCAATCCTCCAGCAGCATGTCCTCTCGCTCCCAGCTCCTTACGCACACCTCACTAACTGGAGTCAGAGCCTTTTAAAACCAGGTATCCTGATTAGCCTTAATTAATTCGAGCAGCTTCCCAATTGGCTATAGGTGTCCTAATTAGCCTGCCAGCCTTAATTAGTTCTAGAAAGTTCCTGAGTGTTCTGGAATAGTCCCTGTTATTTTACCCAGGGAAAAGGGACCTGCTTAACCTGGAACTAATGTATCTACTTTCGACCACTCTTTTGTAGCCATCTGTCCTGACCCTGTCACACTTTATATACGTTGTAGTTATAGCCATATTATCAGCTCTGATTTGGTCTGTTTTCCCTCTTGTATATTTTTAAGCTTTGCTCATGTTTGCCTTCTTACTCTTAAGAAATTTTATGTTGTTTGCAGTGTTGTTGCAGCCAGGCTATGAGCCACTGTTGGTCACATAATATGAGAGAGAAGGTGGGTGAGGTAATATAAAACCAGTGTCTCTGATAAGTCCATGGTTTTTAGTGTCCAGCGGAGTTATGAATTTAAGTTCCTAGGCTTGTCTTTTGAAGGTGTTGTGCACGTTTCCTTTGAGGACGAGGACTGAGCGTTCAGATACGGAGTGATCACTTTGTGAAAAGTGTTCACCTGTGAGTGATAGGGTGTTTTTTGTCTTTTATCATTTTTCTGTGTGAGTTCATCTGAGAGTGTAATGATTGTCTGGTTTCACCCACATGGCAGTTGTAGGGGCATTTGATGCACTGGATGAGGTACACACCATGTTGTGATAGGCATGTGTTGGACCCATGCATCTTGAAAGGTGTGTTGGGGGGGTATTGATCATTGTAGCAGGGGAGGTATATCTGTATGTTTTGTACCTGTTGTTCTGGTAGGGTCTGGTGCCGCTTTGAGTTGGTGTGTCCTAATCCTGTGAGGAGCTTGCTTCTGCTGATGATCTTGCCCAGATTGTGGGGGCTTGTTTGAAGGCCAGAAGAGGGAGAGGGTTCAGGAACGATATCTTCCATGATGTGATCCTCATCAAGTATGGGTTGTAATTGTTTGATCATATCCTGCGTGGGTTCTAGCATGTTCTTTGGGGTTTTTGTTGAGATACAATTTGTACATGATTCTTTAATAATAATAATAATAAAAAAAAAGTTCCTTAAAAGTATGTAATGCAAAAGAAATATTTTAAATGTATGTATTTTTAAGTCGTATTATTTTTCCTCCTTGACATTTTAAGTTTGTAAAAAAGGAATATTTTGCATATGCTGGGTTTTTTTAGATAAGAGGCACATGATATGAAGTAAGAGAAATAAAAGCATATAGTCAATGGTAACTAATGTAGTCCCCAGGAGAAGATCCAGGCTACCAATCATGTACAAGAGTTATAATCTGCAGTTTAGCTTGTTTGTTCTCAGGCTATAGATAATGGATAAAAGTGCCTGGTTTGCTGCCAGTACATGGTTTATTTGCCAAATATGCTGTTTCATACTTGTTTAACTTGATCCATATCACAAGTTCTTCCTATTAAGAGCCTGCTTTACATGCAGTTACTTTAAATCAGTTACCCACAAAAATATTTTATGGTACAGACTTTGCTCAACAGATTTGGCACATTTTTTCAGCTGCAGTCCTGAAATCTTTGTGAGCATGATTCACACTGAAGTCAGTAGGAGCTTTCAGTGCACGAGGAGGATATGTTTAGTTCTAACTGTGTGGAAATAGGGATATTCTGACATATATTATAAACTGATACCTCAACAGATTTTCCCTATTTTATATCATAGTTGACCATTCCTGCCGTGTTACTATGTATTTGCCTTTGAGAAGTGAAAGTTGGTCCAACTTTTAATGTTCATACATTCATGCTAGCAAAACCGTGGCTAAGAGCAAAAGTGCTGGTGGAGACTGGCTGCCCAGATTGTGCATTCCACAAAAAATTTAAGAAGGACCAAGCCCCACTAGTTGTCTGTGAATTATGCCTTTTGGGCCATGCTCAGGTTATACAATGGAGCACTCAGAAAAATGAGAGAATCGTGTCAAAATATGTATCATTAAAAAAAATCTAGACATATAAATTAGAGCTACCCCTGACCAGCTGTAGTTTACATATTCAGTACTGCTGGTTGCACCTTCAAAAGGCTAACGAATGCTGGGTGCACCTCCAAGAGTTTGGTTCAAATAAACATTCAGAAGTTTAAGACGCTTATCCATAGGTTTTGAGGCTTCCCTTCTTCTTCCGCAACACCCTCCAAATCCACCCCTTCTGCCCCAAAACTTTCTAATATGTAACCATGAATATTGAAAGAATTGAGCAAAAGAAGAAGTTTCTCTGTTGTTCATCATGTGCGGTATAGAAGATCTGCAGTATCCTGAGGGATACAGCACAGTGCATGTACATGTAGCTGTTTTAGTAATGCAGATTATTATGGCCCAACTCTCTGCTTGAATGATAAGAAAATATTGATTAATATTGTGATCTATTTTTATTTTTAGATTGAAAATCTACAGGAGCAACTTAGGGACAAAGATAAACAGCTAACCAATTTAAAAGACAGAGTGAAATCGTTGCAGACGGATTCCAGTAACACGGACACAGCTCTAGCAACATTAGAAGAAGCTCTGTCAGAGAAGGTAATGTTTAGCATGTAGCAGTGTTATACGGTGCTCTTTCAATGAGGGGGTGAAGTGTGTCCAGAATAAAAAGATGCTTTTTTGAAGTGGTGGAGCACCAAAGAAAGAAATGAAAGAAAGTTTATGTAAAATTACAGAATTAACCCTTAAAATAATCTGCTCTTTATTTTTATTTGGAGTTTTATGCCTTTAACTTGCAAATGACTTCATCCCACATTAAGTGGTGGGTTGTTGGAGAAGGTGTGTTCCACCTTTAAGGATTAGAGAACCAGAAAGTTACCTGGTACAGAGCTGAGGCACATGCAGCACCATGCCAGGTCAGTGTGGGGATGGTCAGGTGACCAGAAGAGGGGTGGGGACTATTGGTACCCAAGTCAGTGTAGTACATAACCTGGTTTTGTTTTCACCTGGACCAGTCTGAGTAGGTTTCGTCATGATCCGCTGTGGGCATTAAGCTAGTTGCTCCTTTCTGGCAGGGCGGAGGTGGGGTCCGGCTGGGGTTGGGAACTGGGAAGGAATTTTTCCCTCACTGCCAGATTGATCAAGGCAACGTGAGGTTTTGACCTTTCCCACAGGAGTTTGGGGGCTTGGTGGGGCAAAAAACAAAACGGGGGTTAGGCTATGATGTCGCAGTTGATTATGTAAGCTTGGGGCAGATATCCAGTGTAGGTACTTTGTAGGGAATAGATACAGAGATTAGATAAAATGGATCTGGAAAGTATTTAAAGGAGGTATTCTTTATAGGAGTGAAAATGGGGGGTTCAGGGCTCCTACGATTGATATGGCAGGGAGTTAACCCCCCCTTCTTTATAGCCCTGATTAGCCCTCATTTGAGGGGGTGGGTGCCGAGATCCCAGCAGCTAATGGGCTGGGGACCAGTGTAGGAAGGGGGAGGGCTGACAGCAGTGCTCTGGGTAATATAAATGGTTATGGAATTACCTGCACTGTACAATTTTCTCTGCTGAGTACTCTCTGACATTTGGGTATAAAGTTGTGGCTTAATTAAACCATGCCCATTGTTTCTGTCCCTCCTCTAGCATGGCTGGACAATACCTAAATACCTAAAAATCCCCATTGACTTCAGTAGGACCAGAATTTCACCCATAAACTTTAAATACATGAGTAGCGCTATTGAACTCAGGTATTTGGACTCAGTGGGACTATTCTTGTGCTTTAAAGTTCAGCACATGCTTTATTTTATGTGGAACAACTGGTAAATATTTAAATAAACTTGAACTAGTAAGGAGTCTTCTCAGTGGTAAGTGGGACCTGCTTTTTCACCAGGGGTGGCCAACCTGTGGCTCCGGAGCCACATGCAGCTCTTCAAAAGTTAATAAGCAACTTCTTGTATAGTCACCGACTCCGGGGCTGGAGGTCCAGCCCCGAACTTCCCAGTGTGCCAGGGGGTGCTCACTGCTCAACCCCTGGCTCTGCCACAGGCCCTGCCCCCACTCCATCCCTTTCCGCCCCCTCCCCTGAGCTTGCTTTGCCCTCGCTCCTCCTCCTCAGAGCCTCCTGCATGCCACAAAAGAAGTCATCGGGAGGTGTGGGGAAAGAGCGGGAGGCGCTGATTGGTGGGGCTGCCTGAGCTGGGAGTGGGGCCGTGGGGTTGATGGGGGGCTGCTGACATATTACTGTGGCTCTTTGGCAATGTACATTGGTAAATTCTGGCTCCTTCTTAGGCTCAGGTTGGCCACCCCTGTCTTAGACACTAGTCTGAATACTATTAAATGCTGCCCTCTGTTATGAGGGTTTTCTGGAGTCTACAGGTACAATTAAAATCCTGTGACTGGAGATGGAATTAGCGTTATCTATTGTAAATAAATATGTTTGGGCTCTTGTGCAAAGTTAAATCATGTTCTAGTGTCTAATGAGAATTTTAATCATATAATGAGGTAGTATTATTTAATCATCTGAATAAATTGGCAAGTGTTTAAGGGAGACCGCTGCAGGTATAAATGCAGCATGGGTGGGTTTAATGTTGTCGTATAGCACTGCTTTTCCAGGTACAGGCTGCTCTCATCCTGTAAATATGGAATTAGTAAATATCACCCCTATTTTACAGATGGGGAAATAGAGTCTGTCAGATGTTTTTTGACTTGCCAAAATTACACAACAAATTAGCATCAGTACTGGGGCCCCAGCTTCAAAATTCACATCTAATCCAGTAGTCCAGATGAGTTATTTATCCTTTCTTCCTTGTTTTGTCATCTGTAAAATGGCTAATAATATTTAGCTAATGATATATGGCTGCATATAACTTCTCCGTGTGTCTATTTTTGGATTTTGCTTATCTTAAATATCATTAAACCATTTTAGAAATTTTAACACTAATGCTCAAAGAATTTAAAGTGACTTGCCTGGGAGGCAATGTAGTGAAGTGAGTTAACTAGGGAACTGGGAATCAGAAGACTTAAGTCTTTCTCCCATGTAAAATAGACCCGATTCTCAGCTTATGTAAATCAGTATGCCGTTTTACACCAGCTGAAGATCTGGTCCAACATGAATAATACAAAGTTCTAAAACGTAGTAGATCAGAAGTTCTAAAAGCTTTGAATTATGGGCTTTGTCCTTTGTTTTTCAGTGTTGTCTGTTTATTTTTGTAGACTGTCCAGCTGGAAGACTGCAACACTGCAGTTCAAATTAGAGAAGTCCATCAGAATCATCATACCTGTGGAAAGTTACAGCACCAATAATGTTTATGTCTCATGTTTGGAGCTTAACTGTCTTTGATTGGAAATCTGTTTGTACTGGGTGGAAAGTGAATTAACGGTGTACCAGACATGAGAACAAAAAATCACTGCAAGACCAGATCAGAGAGATAAGGTTAATGTGATGTGAACTGTGCAAATAACAGGATGCTTGGTTCTGGTGAATTGTACACAAAAAAAGAAGAATTGCCCTGGGATGAAAACAGTACGCTGGTCTGTTTGATTTGGATACTGCAAGTAATTGGTGCTAGCCCCTTTTGCCACAGCATCACAGTGGGAGCTCATTTTCGATTCATTATCTGTTGTAACTTTATCAGAGTCCTTGCTTTTCCAGGCTACAGGCTGTCTTCATCCTGTAAATATGGCTTACCAGCCACATTTTTAAAGGCATTTAGGCACCTAAAGATACAGATAGGTGTCTAGTGGGATTTTCAAAAGCACTTAGCCGCCTAACTCCAATTGTCCTTGGATGTATTGAAATAAATGTTTAATTGTGCCCAGCTTTCCAAGTGATCCTGATGGCTCTCTGTTTAGTGACCTTGCCTTATCCCTATTTACCTTTCCACAAATCTTGGTGACATCTACAATCTTTATAAGCAATGATTTCTTTTTTTTACAGAAAATTTATAAAAATATTGAAATGGTATTGAACCAAGAACTGATCCGCATAGACTCTAAGCAAAGAAACCCCACACTTTTTGATGATTCTCCATTAACAATTGTCTTTTGGATTAATCAGTTAGCCAGTTTTTAATCTATTTGATGTGTGCCCTATGGATTTTTGCATAGTGCTAAACTTTTAATCAGAATGTCAGGCAGTACTAAGTCAAGTGCTTGACAGAATTCTAAAAGTATTACATCAACAGTTACCTTTTAGCTACCAAACTTAGTCTTGACAAAAAATGATTGTGAATTAATCCAACAAAACCTGTTTTCCCGGGAGACACATTGGTTGGCATTGATTAGATCATTAACCATTTATTCTTTAAGTCTCATATGAGCCATTATGTTGTTTTGTCTGGAACTGATGTCAAGCTAACTGGCCTATAATTATCCATGTTATTCTGTTTACCCTTTTTAAGTATTGCCACAATATTGGCTTTATTTTAGTTCTTTGGACCTTTCTCACTTTTCCAAGATTTATTAAAGATAAACGTACATGCACCAAAAAGCTCCTTGCACAACTTTTAAAACTGTTACATGCAAATCATCCAGGTCACTTTTTTTTTTTAATTTTAGTAGATTCTGGTTATCTTCCTTAGTTACTGTTGGAATAGGAAGTATTTGATCATCATGTAGTGATATGAATACATCATCCAGCTTCTTTTAAATACAGAACATAAATTTTCGTTGAACATTTCTGCTTTTTTCTGCATCATTATTGATAATTTTACGATTGCCAGCTATCACAGTTCCAGTTTAGTGTGCCACTTGCCAGACTGCTGTGAGGGGATCCAACTGCTGAATCCCAGGGTGTTTTAAGACCACAGAGTCTGAGTGGAGTCCAGGCATTACTACTGTCTTAGAGCCTCTGGGCAAACTCTTGGGGTTCAGATCTATCTGGCACCCCCTCCTGAGAGCCACAACTATACAATCCCCTGCCCAGCCCCTAAAACTAGTGTTGATCCCTCAGATTCTCCCCATACCTTGAACTCCCCCTCTTCCAGAACTCCACCCAAAAGTGTGAGCCTTATAGTTTACCTCTTCAGTTTGCGAAGGGTGGCCCTAATAGGAGCACGAGTCTCCAGCTGGCATAGTTCTGAGGATCATTGGGACACACAAAACTCTCCATCGCAACAAGGTAATGGTCCAAGAAGAGGACTGCAACCTGTATATGAATTTCATTGACCTGACAAAAGCATTTGATACAGTCAGGAAGGTCTTTGGAAGATGGTGGCAGAATTCAGTTGCCTGGAGAAATTCATCACAATGGTTCGGCAATTCCATGATGGCATGATCGCTCGTGTTGTGGAAGATGAGTTATCTGAACCATTCCCAGTCACCAATGGAGTCAAGCGGGACTGTATATTGGTCCCAACCCTCTTCAGTATGATGTTCTCTGTCATGCTTACAGATGCCCTTTGTGACTGAGACACCAGGATTGGCATCAGATACTGGACTGCTTTTCAATGTGAGGAGACTGCAGGTGAAGACAAAGATACAGGCAGTGACTGTTTGCAGTCTTCTGTTTGCTGATGACTGTTCCCTGAATGCCAAATCTGAGTCTGACACACAGTGAAGTATGGACTATTTCTCTTCAGCTTGTGACAACTTTGGTCTCACAATTGA